TCATAAGTCCTGGATGGATATCCTCGTGGATTCATCTTCCTATTATACACACACGCATTTCCAAACATTTGGACTACCTATGTTGCAAATGTATTATCTTTTCAATTTACACACGGCATCTATTGCACGTCTGTCCGTCCTGGGAGAGGGATCCCTCCTCTGTTGCTCTCCCTGAGGTTTCTCCCATTTTTCCCTTTAAACTGTGGGGTTTTCTCCGGAAGTTTTTCCTTGTACGATGTGAGGGTCTAAGGACAGAGGGTGTCGAATTGTCATACTGATATTCTATACAAACTGTGAAGTCCACTGAGACAAATGTAACATTTGTGATATTGGGCTATATAAATAAACATTGATTGATTGATTGAACGAACCATCAGACGCTCAAGTTTTTTCAACTCAAGCGTCACATTTGCGTGACGTGTTCTCGCGTAATCCAATCAGCAGTGAGGATCTCAGCCTGCCGTCACTGACGTTGAATCAGAAAACCAAAATATCAGCTGTTAGTTGTTAGCACTTAGAGCTCACAGCTCCTCATATCTGTTCAGAAACTGGAGAAAAGTCGGTGCTTTATTTCTGTCTGTATGACATTGTTGTGAGTGTGGACGGAGCAGCTACAACCTTAGCTTAGCCTGATCGATCCAATCTCCATTCACGCATTTTAAAAGTGTTTCGCCTGCCGTCTTGTATGCACACTTGTCAAAGCTTCAATTCATGGTTTTTACATACCGGTATCAGTATGTTATTAGTTTGGCATAATTTTGTATCTACATGGAGATAAGCACCGCCCCCTCACCAGCACGTCTTGTTTGAATGACGCAAGTAAACACAGTTGATAGCCGTGGTGAAACTCGAGTGATTAGAGCGATGCGAATATTCGCATTGCGGAGGGAACGCTATATTACACAGCCCCAGCCTCTCAAGGTGTTCCCCAAGGTTCAGTGCTTCGTCCCCTCCTTTTTGTTTTCTACAAACCAGTCATTGGTCCCATCATACCCCACCATGGCTTTTATTTCCACTGTTATGCCGACGACACCCAGCTCCACCAAATCTATCCCTCATCTGGCCTCACAAACTGACTAAGAGTTATACAAACCTGGATACAATCTAACTTCCACAAACTCAACAGTGAACAATTGGAACCTACATGACTCATTACATTCTGCCACAATGTCTCCCTCTGTATTGATGGCTCCACTGTTCCTGCTTTCACACCCATCCTTAAAATTGGTGACATTATCGATCATTTCCTCTCCTTCGAAACCCACAATAACCACATTACAAAACATTTAGTAAATCACTTGGTGCTCCGATGAATAGTAGTATAAGCTGTATAACTAATGGGGCACTAAATTGATTTAGTGTATGTGAGTTTGCATACTGAAAAGTCCTCAGTAGACTTCCTCTGTTCACTGAGGCGTCTCTCCCTCTCCAGCTCCTCCTCTGCCTGGGTCATGGCGTTGTGAAGCCACTGCTCGATTCCCGTGATGCAGTCTGACAGTAGAGCCAGACGAGCCTCTGCCTTCAGCCTGCTTAGCTGAGAGGAAGACAGCCAGTTAGACACACACACACACACACACACACACACACACACACACACACACACACACACACACACACACACACACACACACATTCTACCTACTATTACATCAGCTTAAATTATATATGATCTGTACAGCGCTGTATAGAGAAGGTTGACGGTAAAGTCTCTAATTTGCATGAGATTTTTACGTGAGCTTTTTGAGCATGTCATTGTAAAATAACACCAGATTGAAGAACTGAATTCCCCCTCAGGGATAATAAAGGTCATCTTAAATAGCCTTTTAGGGTGAATCAAGTACCTTGGCTTTCCTCACACTGTCCTGCACCTCTGCTATCTTCTGCTCTACACTGAGGCACGTGTCCCCAGATAAGAGCTTCAACCGACTCTCTAACGTCTGCAGAGCCTGACAGAGAAACATAGAAAGAGGTAAATATACATTTATTTTGTATGGCCTGCCCAAAGCATGTGAAACGGGAAATAATAATCATAATTGAACAAAGACTCACTCTCTCTCCGTGTGTGATGATCTTGTAGTCTTTGGCAGCTTTTGTAGCCCACTTCTTAGCCTCCCTCACCAGGCAGCCGTCTGCTTCTGAAGCGCTGAGCTCCTGTAGAGTGGACACCTGAACACACCACAGTCACACATCCCTCTATTCTGTGTTCCAGTATACGTCAGCTTAGTGTCAATACAACAGCCTATGTGAATATTTGTATGTATTTTATATCACGTTGCACTGGACTGCAATATAGTATAGTTTATACGGTCAAGGTGATTAGGTCCACCCCTCCATGCACACACATGGACCCGTGCAATGTAACTAAATGATGATATTTTATGAAAATACATCTTTGACTTAAAAGGGCCCTATTCTGCTCATCTTCAGGTTCATATCAGTATGTAATAGTGTCTACTGGGACATGTCTCCTTGCTTTAATGTTCAAAAATATCTTTATTGTCCTCATACTGCCTGTGCTGCAACACCTCTTTTCACCCTCTGTCTGAAACCAGAGCCCCATCTGCTCTGATTGGTTAGCTGGCCGGCTCTGTTGTGATTGGTCAACCACTTAGAGATGTCCCGCCCCTTAGCCTAAAATGTGTTGGAGCGCTAGCCAATAGAAGCTCAAGTGTTATAAAGCGATGTCACTATGTTACAGGAGTAAATAACGGAATTAAAGTCCTGAGTGTAAGGGAGAGAAACTCCCTCTGGAGGGAACAAGGGGATTTTAGCCTTTGCAGACCATTTACATGCACAAAAACCTTTAACACACAACAGGAGAAGAAAACCCATAAAAAGCATAACAGAGCCGATTTAAAATGTGTTGTATCACTAAAAAGGCAGGTACAATTAAATGCTAAAGATGAGACTTCATACACACAGACCAACACACACACCTTGTCACCTGGAGCGGGCTGGAAGGTGAATTCAGGTGTTTTGCTGAAGGAGACAGACTCTTGGAGAAACTGCAGCACATTTCTCTCTCTGGTCACCTGAAAACACAGCAACCAATGATTGTTACAATCAAACCAATACCTCCTACTGTTCCAATTGAAGAAAAATATTTAGAGGTGGGTGGACAAAATCTCAATACTTCAATCAACATTATTTTGTAACATTACAACATTGAAAACCAAGGTGTAAAATGTTTTCTTCCCCCTCGCATCTTCAACCAGATTTCACTCTTCACACTGCTATATTAGTGCAGACATTTTAAGTATGTGTTAAATTTCAATCTGTAAACTGCTGTTCCTTTTAAAACTTGAACAAACTTGTTAAGCTATTGCTCCGCTCTTTTCCCTCAAGATTAAAAAAATATATCTTTAAATTGTTCTCCTTATTTTCAAACATGTTCTAAAAAGAAAAAAACGTTTTCTTGCATGTTTAATTTATCTTCATTTCGAAGTTTCCACATTCCTGATTCCCATCTCCCCACCTCCCTGTGACCCCTCTGCCCCCACCCCCGTCTTTTCAGAGCAAAGTGAGACATGTCTTATGTCTGGCTTTTCAGAGGGCACCGTGGGATACTTGGCATGTAGAATTCTTTGATTTGAGAACCTACAATACGGCTGTCAACAATTTGGTTATTTAAACTTGAGAGTTATGATAACTTCAATATAATACTCCATGGACTTATACCTTAGCAACACTGTCCCATATGGTGCTGAACTGTTTGTGTGTTCTGAGACAAGTGCCCATCTCTGTCCCACACAGCAGGGTGAAGTGGCCTCTCAAGTCATCATAAACATCACCGTCCATTTGCTAAGGGGGGAAATAGAGAGTCATGAGTCATTTTTTTATATTTAAAGTAACGTGTTCACAACATATTCACCTAATAATGCTTTAACATATTATCAAGGTTCATTTATTGTCACTGTTCAACACAGGTTTGCTGAACAAATGCAGTTGTAGTCTAGCTTAGTGGAGCTAAGAACAAATGGATAATTCATCAAATACCCATACATCTTTAAAGGGCCTCTTGGCTATTTTGTGTACATTTAAGACCAGAATTCTCCTAACTTGTTAATAGGTTTAAAAATGTACTGCACACACACTTTTTACCAGTGTAATTTATGAAAGATAATTATAAGAATAAGAGTGTGATATGTTTTGTTTGTAAAAGTCAGTGCTTTATCAGTTTTACAGCTTCCCTTTTTAGTGTGTGTGTGTGTGTGTGTGTGCGTGCGTGCGTGCGTGTGTGTATAGGCCTAGAGTGTTTTACCTCCATAATGTGTGGTAAGTCGTTGGTATAGTAGTGTTGGTGATGGCCGTTGACTGCTGATAAAGCCAGCATATACTCGTTACGAGCTTCAGTCAGACGATCGTCACACTCCCTCAACCTGGCGCTGAGCTGCACACACACACACACACACACACACACACACACACACACACACACACACACACACACACACACACACACACACACACACACACACATACACACACACACA